CCCCCGGCCTGGCCTCCCCACCTGTGCCCAACTTCTCTGCTCTCCTAACCCTGTCTCAGCAGGAGATGCTCATTCCCATCCAGCGTCCTTCCCACACGGTCTTTCCATTCTTTGCCCGATCCTTCCCACCTCCAGGCTTCATCTCCCAGTTCCCACCTTTCCTCCCCCAGACCCACTCCGGGTCCCCAGTCTTGCCCTCCGTAGCTCCATCCACCGCTCTCTCCTCAGTTCCTTGGCTTCTAACCTCGCTTTCCACCCACCCTTCCAGTCTCTCCCCCCACTCCTGAACCACACCACACAGTCTTTTTGCTTCCACCCCTCCTAGCACCCCTGGACTGGGGGGCTCTGGGATCCTCTGCCCTCCTGCAGGCATCACTGAATTTCTGCATCTGAGGGAGCTGCTGTGCCCTTCCAGGGCATTCACTTTGCCTCAGTTTCCCTCCTGGCTCATCCCCACTCTAGCCTGGGTGCCTCTCCCTCAGGCCTTTTCATTCTGGCTTCTCCTCCTCTGGCCTCAGCTTCTTTATGCTCACACTCTGTGTGTGTCTGTCTGTCTCAGACAGTCTCTCATCAGTTTCTTGTTTCTTTCTTTGCTCCCTATAGTTCTTTTTGTTTGTTTGTTCTGCTTTTGCAGACAGGGTTTCCTTTGGCCCGGGCTAGCCTTGAACTCACTTTGTAGCTGAGGCTGGCTTTGAACTCCTGAGCCTCCTGCCTCTGCCTGCTGATAGCTGGTAATTACAGGTGTGTGCCACCGTACCCTGCTCTCCCCATGGTTTTTATACTGACTGTATTCATCTTTTGGCTCTCTCTTCTCCTGTTTGCCTCCTGCCTTTTGCGTGCATCTTCTCTTGCTGACCTCTCTCCTCCAACCTGTAGGGCCTGGCTCCCTCTTCTTAGCTCCCCTCTGTGATTGGCTCTGTTTTTCTGTACCTGCCTGGCCTGAGTCTCAGATCTGAGTCCTGGGCTTGCCTGATCCCTGCTCCTTCTTCCATTCCTCATCTGCTCCTTTGCTATATCTTTGTTTTTGAGACAGGGTCTAACTCTGTAACCTAATATGTCCAGGGATTCACTATGCAACATAGAGGAGGCTCAAACTCACAGTGATCCCCCTGCCTCCGGAGCGCAGGAATTGCATCCTGGTGTCGATCGATGCCTTACTTAGTGTCTGTCCTTTCCCCCACTTAGCTGTGGTCACCACTTTGGGGCTATATCTTCCTGTGCCTGTCTTCCAGGACCTCTGTGTTTGTTTGCCACACGTAGTGTGTCTGTGCACAGTGCCTCTGTCCCCCTGTCCCCATCTGTGTCTGCCACCTGTGGGTCCCTGCCCTTCTACCCTGTCTCAGTCTTATTGTCTATAGTCCCCAATCGCCATTTGTTCCAGATGTCCCAGGATGAACCCCTCCCTCCTGCCCTTCCTCTTGAGAACTCTCCTTCTAGCTCTCCCAGAATTCCTTGCTCCTCTGTCCTGGTCAAGCCTCCACAGGAGCTCCAAATTGCAGTCTGCAGCCACCAGTCTGTTGAACATGCCCTCCAGTCCCTCAGGCTCTCCTTACAAAAGACTGAGAGGTGTGGGGAGGTACTTTCTCAAGGTCACCCAGGAAGTAGGGGCGAGTGTAGGACTGATAAGGTACCCTTTCTCCTTGGCCTGGACTTTTCTGGCCATAGAAGCCAGTTCCAAGCCTTGGCTTGGGACTCTGCCTTTTCCCAGTACGTCTCATTCTGGCTCTGTCACCAGCTGAAGTCTTCCCATGGGGCCAGGTGAGATGCAGGGGGACACTAGACATACCTCACAGTGCTCTGGGCTCTCCAATAACCTCTAGTCCTGGCGCACGGTCTACAACCAGGTGCACGGGGATCTGTGTGCGTGTCTGGCAAAATATATCCCACCCAGTGGTGACACTTCCAAAGATCTGGAGTGCCCAGAGCAAACCCGGATTCGCTGAGGCTAGGTCTGTGGGCAGACAGGTCCCATACCCCAGCTCCCCAGAACAGGGTGCAGGCAGGCAGCCTTCCAGCCTTCCTGCCTTTGTATCGGACTCTCACCGGCTGCTTGAGTCCGTTTGTGCATCGCCGTGTGCGTGTCGTTCTCTTCCAGCTTCTCACCCGTTCCCATGCTCATATCCCCTTGTTTGTTCTGCCTTTCTTCCTCCCCCCTTTCTCGGTTTCTGTCCTTTGCCTCTTATCCTCCTGTGCCTTCTCTTTCTCTGTCTAACTCCCAGTCTGGTCTCTAACTTCCTTCCTCTCCCCTTCTGTGTGTCTGTCCGTTTGTAGCTGTTTCTGTCACCTCTCTGCTCTCTCATATCTGTCTGCCTGTTTCCCCCTCGGATACTTTCTCAGCATCTTTTTTGCAGCCTCTCATCAGATACTTTTTTCTGCTTCCTCTTTTCTCCTTCTGTGCTCTCTTTTTAGGTTCTTTGATTTGTGGAGTCCCTCTCTCCCTCTCTCCCTCTCTCCCTCTCTCCCTCTTTCCCTACCTCCTTCCCTGTCACCAAGTTTCCTAATACTTTCACCTATCAGACCCCTGGGTGCCCAGGCCTCTCTCCCATGGGATTGTGGGAACCAGGGACGTCAGGAAGGTGGCAAGTGAGGCTTGGGATGGGGTTGCCTAGCAACCACTGCATCATCTCCAGCCAGTTTCTGTTGCCTAGTAACAGCTGCCTGCCCAGAGACAGGGGCGGGACTGGGGTGATGGTGGCACTTCCCAGTTTCCTGTTGGGGTGGGGCTGGTCCCCAGAATCACTCGTACTTGAAATCTCTAGTAATGACTGTCTTACCAGTGACCTCTGACCTTCCGTCTTCCAGAGCTCAGGACTATGAGCTTGGTGAGCTTCCCAGTGAGGCAACTGTGCAGTCGTCCCCAGTGATGCCTGGGAGGACTACGCTTGCCACCCAATCCAGAAGCTTTCCTAAGGGACTCTGCCCCCCAACATCAGCCATCTCCCCTGGGGCTTGGGGGGTCTCTCTGCAGGTGGCGAGTGGGGGCCGCGGCAGCTGGGGCCCCAATGG